GTAATAAGAAGACAATCCAATTAAAAAATAGACACATTTGAGCAGGTACTTCACCAAAGGAGACATGCAGACAGTAAACATGTGGAAAGTGTCGATTTCATTAATCGTTAAGGAAACTGCAAATTAAAACCACAATGAGATACCACTAGACACTTACTACAATGGATAAAGTGAAAATGATTGATTACACTATGTTGACTTAGGATATAGAGCAACCGTTGAAAATGTAAAATGGTAAAATGACTTGGGAAAACAGTTTGGCAGGGTTTTTTGTTTGTTTGTTTTGGTCTTTGTTTTTTGAGACAGGGTCTCTGTGTTGCCCAGGCTGGAATGCAGTGGCACAGTCATAGCTCACAGCAGCTTCAGACTCCTGGCCTCAAGGGATCCTCCTGCCTTGGCCTCTCAAAGGGTTGGGATTAAAGGAGTAAGCCTAGTCTGGCAGTTTTTAAAAAGTTAAAAATATACCTAGATATTCCTAGTGACCCAGATATTCCACTCCTAGGTACTAGTCAAGAGAAATGTAAGCATATGTCCTTTTCAGAACTTTTACTTGTGTGCTTATAGTAAGTAGCTTTGTTTGCAATTGCCAAAACCTAGAAGCTATCCAAATGACCATCAAGAGGTGAAAGGACAAATTATGGCATGTCCATTCAGTGGAAAACTAAGTAATAGGAAGTAATACATTCTTGATTCACTCAGCAATATGTATAAGTTTTTTTTTTTTTTTTTTTTTTTTGAGATGGAGTTTTGCTCTTGTTGCCCAGGCTGGAGTGCAATGGCATGATCTTGGCTCACCGCAATCTCCGCCTTCCGGATTCAAGCGATTCTCTTGCCTCAGCCTCCTGAGTAGCTGGGATTACAAGCATGCACTACCATGCCCAGCTAATTTTGTATATTTAGTAGAGATGTGGTTTCACCATGTTGGTCAGGCTGGTCTTGAACTCCTGACCTCAGGTGATCTACCCGCCTCAGCCTCCCAAAGTGCTGGGATTACAGGCGCGAGCCATTGCACCCGTCCAGGGATGAGTTTTTAAATAATTCTTCTAAGTGAAAGAAGTCAAACACAAAAAGATTGCATACTATGTGATTCACTTAATACAAAACTCCAGAAAATGCAGCTAATTGACAGCAACAGAAAGCAGATCAGTGGTTGCTCAGGGATGGGACAGGTTTGGGAGAGGTGGTGGGGAGACAAGGAAACTTTTGGAGATAATCAGCATGTTAATTATCTTGATTATTATACATATACAAAAATCTATTAAATTATATACTGGAATTTTGTGCTGCTCTTTGTCAACTATGTCTCACTAAAGCTGTAAATTAGAAAAAAGAAAAAGAAAAATGCACATGAGAAGGTGGTTAAACATACACATTTCTACATACGTATTTAAAAACTCAATGAAAAAAGTCATCTTTATGAAAGAAGACTCTAATCCATAAATACAAACATTTATGAAGAGATGCTGAGACTGTAGGAGGCAATGAGATAAAACATAATTTGCAGAACTTAGTAAAAAAGAAACAATAAATGGATCATACAGCTGGAAAGAACACAAGACAAATGACCATTTTGGTAAGCATAGAGGGGATATAGAAGAAAGGTCCCAAACTGTTACTCAGGGGCCAAATCCTGTCCACTACCTGTTCATTCATGCCCAGAAGCTGAAAATGACTTTTTACATTTTTAGATAATAAAGAGAGAAAGAGAGAGAAGAATACACAGCCGAGACTGTATGTGACCTGCCAAACTGTTTGTTATCTAGCCTTTTACGGAAAAAGTTTGCTGACCCGTGGCGTAGAGGATAAAAGTAAAACGCAAATAAAAAGAATAGAAATTACAAAAGAATTGCTTGCAATTAATTACACAAAAAATGCTAATGATAGAAGTAGGAAAGGGAGACACAGTATTTGTACAATTTGAATACTCAGAGAAAACAGAATAATGGAAGAACACATTTTTAAAGATACAAATCAGGCACACTTTTCAGGAAAACAATAAAACTTAAAGCTACATGATTGAAATGGTATACTACACAATAGGAAGAAACTGCCCCTGGAATAGCCAATAGTAAGACATATTATAATAGAATTACTCGACTGTAAAAAAATATATAGATTCATTTGACCAACAGGTATAAACATCAGGTCATCTATAGGGACTTTGGCTTCAAACTTCTCTACAAAAAAAACAGCTTCAGGTAATGAAATAAAAACTATAAGATCCTCAAGGAAAGGACGTGTAAACCAAGACTTTTAAATTCACCAAACTACTCTTCATAGAAAAAGCCTACAGGTAAATAGTTTTAAAAATAGGAAACAACTCAGGAAATGTTCTCATGGTCTCTTTTTGAGGAAACTACTAGGGATCAAATTCCAAACAGCAAGAGAGGTCTGAAAATTTTACAGCAAAGGACTGGATATAAGCACTGACTGTATTTAATTAAAGCAAAAAGCCTAAAACTTATGTGACATTAGACACCCAACTGAATGTTAATACCCTGGCAATGTGAAAATAATTCAGCTAACATAAAGGAAGGTCACGGGTGATAGAAGGAGAAAGGTAGTTTAACGTTTGCCTCAACTGTGAAAGGAGACCAAAAGATGTCGTTTATTTGATCTCAACATACTTCTGAGTAGTAAGATAAACACTGACAAGGATCATACTATTGATAAATATCTGACAGGGGAAGAAAAGGGGGAAGGGAAAATAAAATTTTGCCACTGTTCAGAGTAGGAAATATATAGATCCTGTCTAAAGACAGAGAAAACTAAAAATATTATATGAAGTTATTATAACGGAGGTCACCAGAAAAAAGAAAATACAATGTACCATTAAAAACTTTAATTCTAAAGGTAAAGGATAAAATAAAATGACTGAACCACTATCAAACGTGTATATGATATCAAAGTAGTTACAGTGAAATGTGAGAAAAAAGAGACATTCCTGCTTGTGATAGGAAACTTAATCTCAGCCCAGGGACACCAAGCAATCAATAATGATAATAGCAGCATACACATTACTGTGTGTGTGTGTGTGTGTGTGTGTGTGTGTGTGTGTGTGTGAACGCTGCACTCTCAGAATAGAGAAGGTATTTCTCTTCAAGCAGCCTTGGAATAATCGCAAGGATGACTATATGCTAGGCCACCAAAGCCTGGTGGAGACAATTTAGCAATGTCTATCCAAATTATAAAGGCATGTGCCTTTTGACCCAGAAATTTCACTTTTGGGGAAGTTGATTATGTAAGCGTATTCACCGAAATGTGAAATTACCTGTTTACAAGGTTGGTCCTGCAAAGTTGTTGGTGTAGTAAAAGATTGAGAAGATCCAAATGTCTGTCAACAGACGTGGTTGAATACATTTTTGTACGACAATACATTGGAATATAATGTGCTGTAGAAGAGAATAAAGAAGCTCTTTATGTATTAAAAGACGAAGACCTCTAAGATATATCCTTAAATGAAAAAGCACAAATGCAGACCATGTCTATAATGCACCGCCATCTTTCCCTACAACAAAAAGTGGGAAAAGTTGATAACACTCACGCGCGCACACACACACGCTTGTATGTGATATATAAACACATTTCCAGAAAGACGACAGTAGTAGCAGTGGTCACATGTTAACGGATTATGAATTAGACAAGTGGAGCATGAAGTAGTAAAGACATTTCATTTTAACATACTTCTAAAAAATGTATTGTTGGCCAGGTGCAGTGACTCATGCCTGTAATCCCAGCACTTTGGGAGGCCGAGGTAGGCAGATCACAAAGTCAGGAGATAGAGATTATCCTGGCTAACATGGTGAAACCCTGTTTCTATTAAAAATACAAAAAATTAGCTGGGCGTGGTTGCCGGCACCTGTAATCCCAGCTACTCAGGAGGTTGAGGCATGAGAATCGCTTGAACCTGTGAGGTCGAGGTTGCAGTGAGCCGAGATTGCACCACTGCACTCCAGCCTGGGTGACAGAGTGAGACTCCGCCTCAACAAAAGTGTTGTCACATGTGACTATGTTACCTCTATAAACATGTAAAGAGAAACAATGCCATGAGGGCATGGAAGATAAAGCAATTAATTCTCCCCTGGGGAAATGGAGGAGACCTTCAGGATAGATAATATTTAAACTGAGACTTGAAAGATGAGTGGAATTCGACAAATGGCCAAGGTTGGAAAAGGCATTTCAGGCCAAAGTATGGAAACATGAAAACAAGCCTGAGGAGTAGTAAATGTGATTGGACATTGAGTGCGTTAGGGACACAGTCAGGGCCAGCTTACCAAGAGTCCATTGAAGGTGAGGCCCAGAGCTCTGAACTAGTCAGTGCTGCTACCTAAGGTCAGGATTCCTTCCAGACCCTGGACCCTGCAGGTGGGGAACAGAGGGACTTGGTAGAAGAGAGACGAGGGCTCTGGAGGCTGACAACGAGACCCAGTTCAACAGAGCGGTGCCTTGTTCATAAGACATTTGATCCATAATGCTTCAACAAACCATTGGGTTTTACTTGCACGGTCTAGTCACTACTTATCAGAACATTATTGTAGTATATCTTTTTTTTTTTTTGAGATGGAGTTTCGCTGCTGTTACCCAGATTGGAGTGCAATGGCACGATCTCGGCTCACCGCAACCTCCGCCTTCTGGGTTCAAGCAATTCTCCTGCCTCAGCCTCCCGAGTAGCTGGGACTACAGGCGCGCACCACCATGCCCAGCTAATTTTTGTATTTTTAGTAGAGACGGGTTTTACCTTGTTGACCAGGATGGTCTCGATCTCTTGACCTCGTGATCCACCCGCCTCAGCCTCCCAAAGTGCTGGGATTATAGGCGTGAGCCACCGTGCCCGGCCTATTGTAGTATATCTAAACTTAAATGCACTCCTGAACAATTATTCATGAGGGTTTGCTATCTTGACCCTTCCGTAAGAAATAAAGAATGCGGAATCATTACCCTATGCCAATTGAACGTTATTTTTACTTACATTTGCCTTAATGGTTTGTTTTCCCCTAAAGCCTCAATTTATACCAGTGGACAAAATCTCTGAGTTGACTTCCACTTGCCTAACTTCAGCAACTCAGGTGAGTAATTAATGTAGGATTAAGCAATTTGTGTCATGTTTTAACCCTGTGAAGGATAAGCCTTATCAAGGGCCAAAATGTCATCATGGTTTATGAGGTTCACACAGTGAAGCACTAATAGATTTTAACTGCCGTTTTATTCTTGTTAGAGTGATGCATGTTTATTAGTGATAAATTAGAAAATAAAATACAAACAAGATTGAAATCACCCATTATCTTACTGCCTGCACACGATAGCCTTTTAAAACAATGTATTTCTTTCCAGTACTTTCTAGGGATATATACATATGTATTTTTTTGTCTACCGATGTGTATTTGCCTAGAAATATGTTATATATATAGTTCCTATATCATTTCTTGTATTTGCTAAATGTCATATTACATTATATTCCTCAAATGTCTGTTCTTACTTAGAATTTAAAATTTAGAGAGGAACATTTTTGAACCTTTAGAGCTTCTCAGTTATATCAGTCACACACAAAAATATGGAACTCTGTAATTTTAATTATTCACATTTCTTTACAGGCAGTTGATGAGATTTACAAACTCAGCCAACCTTTAAATAAATAGATTTCTGATAGACATACATAATGTGTTTCTTATCTTTGGCATTTCTTTACTATTCATTTTAAATATTGGAACAGTTGTTTCCATACTGTCTTTGTGTGTGTGTGTGTGTGTGTGTGTGTGTGTGTGTGTGTTTTAATTTTCACCTTTGCTACTGTAACAAGGAACCAGAGATCAATGAACCCAGTAATAAGTTGGACCTGGTATAGTATTATAATCCAACTCCCTCCTTTTATAGTCATTTATCTGAGATCACCACATACTTGAATTGCAGAACCAGGCTTAGGATCTTCCCATTTATAATAAATTATCACCAGAGTCTGAGAGCAAGATGAAGAAAGGGATTCTTCTGGAGTGGAGAGCAGTAAAAATCACCTACAAGTAACTTGCCATGGGAAATAGATTGTAACGTGTCATTGTAAGTCCTCTGTAATAGTAACATCGTCTCATGCCTTGAGATTCTACTTAGCCGTGAGCAAACGAGTATACTCAACTATATCAAACTTTAAAAATGATGGTGGTTTATGTGAAGGAAAAGGAGAGCTAAAGAGTTTCACTGAGGCCACAGCACTGTTGCGGAGAGGGTTGCTTCACTCGTGTTCTCCAAGGCAGTGGAGAATAATGATAGGCTTAGGAAACCTGGAGTGCCACTCAGTGCTGTGCCCTCAGCTGCTCTCCTTCTAGTAGTTATATTTGATTTTTGTTTTGTTTTTAGATGGAGTGCAGTGGCATGATCTTGGCTCACTGCAACCTCTGCCTCCCGGGTTCCAGTGACTTTCTTGCCTCAGCCTCCTGAGTGGCGGGGACTATAGGCATGAGCCACCGTGCCTAGCTAATTTATGTATTTTTAGTAAGAGACAGGGTTTCACATGTTGGACAGGATGGTCTCCATCTCTTGACCTCATGATCCGTCCACCTTGGGCTCCCAAAGTGCTGGGATTACAGGCTTGAGCCACTGTGCCCGCCCTATTTTTGGTTTCTTACAAAAGAGAGTAGGCTCTTACACAAGGAGGCACATGTATTCTAGATCTCTTAGCAAATATATCTTTCATTGGCTGCAGTAGCAGCTAGCAAGGGGCAGGAAGCAGGTTGTGGATGTGGGTAGAGATGGAGGCCAGCCTTGTTTGCAGTGAGAGCCAAAGGCAAGTGAGCCTGTATTGGGAGGAAGTCAGAATGCACAGTACGTTCTCACTGCGGGACTTTTTTTATCCTTGAAAGCAGATTTCTTGACTCAGCACAACTCTGCAGCGATTTATGAATCAAATTCTGAATGAGCCACTGTGGCATTATACATTTGCTAAAGTTGTTTCTAAGCTTTTGATTTTTTAACTTTTTATTAGTAATAAGAAATACCTAATATAGTGAGGTTATGAGAGAAGTGGTAATGAATTATAAATAAGATATCTATCAAAAATAAAAACGTGTTTTTTGTTATTTAAGCAAAGTAACAAACCCCAGAAAATCAGGCTTTTGGGCCATGACTTGAAGCATGAATCTCTTTCATTTCTTTCAGCTTTCAGTGAGCCATAGAGGCCAGAAAATGAACATAGAAGAGACAGACTCTGATGTGGAGTTTATTTCAGAAACTAAAGTTATGAAAAGGTCTACGGAGGAGAAAAAGAACTCTCAACAGCAGAGACGTCCAGTAGCTCTGCCAGAAAATGTGAAACTAGCTGAGCGATCCCAGGTATTATTATTGTTTCTTGTTCAAAAAAGCAATTCACTCATCTTGAAAATAGAATTCAGTCAAGGTTAGCTTCATTTTCACATTTTAAGACACTTTGATTATAAAGTATACATTGCAATGTGTGATTCCTGGACAAGGTCCCGGTTTATAGTTTTCTTTCTGTATTCTCGGTTTTGGAAGAAAATTCAGATTGCTAATATCACCAGTGTCTGGAGAGCTCAACTGACTGAAGGGCCCCAGAAGATTGCCCAGGTGGGAAAAGGATTTAAAATTTGTATTTAAGGGAGAAATACTCATATAGGATAAATACTTTCAGTTTTGTTTTCAATGCTCTATAGGAAAATGCGTAGCTAAATCATACGTATTGTGACCCTATAATCAAGCTTCTGAAAAAATGGGATGTAATGTTAATGTATTGCTAAGTGTTGGGAGTGGTGTTAACAAATGCACCACTCTAGAATTTTCCTTTATCCAAATCAGTTTATTTCTTTTAAAAGAATCACAACACATTTATTCTTACAAAGCTGCCAGTATTTAATTCTTTTTTGAGAATTTTCCCTCGGATTCAGTTTAGAACAATATTGATGCCTACAATTGAATGGGCATTTATCCTGTGCTAGGTTCAGTGCTGAATGGTTATAGGCATCATCTCAATAACTTTCATTTCATATCTTTTTAAGCCAAAATTTATTGCCTAGTTTATCTACCTTGTTTATTACATTTGACTTCTAATGCCCTTTTACTATTTCCACAAATTAAATTCAACCTTAAAGAGTAGAGATTATCCACCATAGAAATATTCAAATGAACTGCTATAGGCTCTGAAAGCCATAAACTTACTTAATTAGCAAGTATCTGCTGAGTTCTGCCCAGTGTAAGACACTGCATTGGCTGGGCATGCTGGCTCACGCCTGTAATCCCAGCACTTTGGGAGGCCAAGGCAGGTGGATCACCTGAGGTCAGGAGTCTGAGACCAGCCTGACCATCATGGTGAAACCCCATCTCTATGAAAAATAAATAAAAAAGAAATTAGCTGGGCGTGGTGGTAGGCACCTGTAATCCCAACTACTTGGGAGGCTGAGGCAGGAGAATCATGTGAACCTGGGAAGGGGAGGTTGCAGTGAGCCGAGATTGTGCCATTGCACTCCAGCCTGGGCAACAGAGCGAGACTCTGTCGCAACCACAACAGCAGCAAAAAACAGATACTGCATTAGTCATAGTGGGAGGCAAGATATTTTAGGCATGGTTCTAAGGAATTACTTTGAACAGTAGTTACATTATAGAAACGTCTCACGCATTTCTTTATAATATCTTTGGCAAATGGTATACTGACTCTCTGAAATTCTTTAGTGAAAATCCTTACCTCCTAAGGCAGCCTTTTCTTAATGCTATTTTTGGCAGCTCATCCTCTTAAAGTATTTCAAATCTATTTCCCTATAATTTTGAAATTTTTGCCCCAAATCTTTTCTATATGAACCAAGCTGGACCTGTTTACAACCTACAGTATTTCACTATTTCAGTATTTTTGTCGATTTGAATTATGTGTTATACTTGAATATTCTGTGTATTCAGCAGATATTCGATCCTTGCTGTGTTGGAACTCCTGCATGTTATCACTTTATAATCACATCTCTCTTCACTCTGAATTCCAGAAAAACTCATTAGCTGTGCAATTTCAAGATTGAGGATTTGTCAGTTTATTATATAGATATGTTGCATGCTCTAAAATCATACAGTCCATTGAGAAGTTGAGAATGTATCCAAGTGTTAGAACAAAACATTTTAGACATTAAATACAGGGACTCACTCAGTATAGCAGGTGTGTGTATGTGTATGTGTGTGTGCATACACATATAAAATGTAAAGCTTTATGAAACAATATACACATACTTCATGTAGATCTATATACACACACACATATATATACATATACCAATATATACATATACGTGTCTGTATATATATAATTTTACTATGTGCCATTCTGTGTGCCAGTCACAAGGGATTGTGGGAACAAAACCACATATGATTTCTACCACCATCAAACTTACAGTCTAGTGATAAAGACAGACACCCAATAATCACAGAGACAGATGTGAACTGCGACTATGGCAGTTTTTATGAGACAGTAGCATGACTGTTTAGGATAAGGGTTTTTGACTCTGGTAGGACAGAAACATCTTCCCAGAGAAGATGCTAACTAGCCTTTTAGGATTAAAATGTAATTAAGTTAGTAAAAGGGGAGGAAACACACTTCTAAGCAATGGAAACAGCATTTGCTAAAGAGGGAACATGGTGAATATGAAGACCTTTTAAAAGACAAGTAATCTATGGCAGGGAAAAGAGATGGAAAGGGACTGTGGTGTGAAGGGGTAGGGCAGGTCCTCTAGGCCACCCGTAAGGGGTTTTGCATATATCCTATAAGCAATGGGAAACCATTGAAGAGTTTTAAGTAGGGAAGTGACATGACCAGATTTTTCTTTAGTAAAGATGGCTTTGGCTGAGTATAAACAAAGATTAGTAGAGAGCTGAGTTGTTGGGAAAGACAGTCTCGGGGGTATAACCTTTGGCCTCCACTTGGCTTCATAAGAATGGACCTTGAGCCTGGGATACTTCCTTAGGACATACATAGCCTATGCTGAGTTTATCCCCTTGTGTGGAGATATCTTTTTCTGTTGCAAGCCCAATGTATGCTCTTTTATCTGCTTAAATGTGTGTGCCACATGAAATCTTGGTCAACCCCACTGCTATATCCATCTTCCTTGGGGAGGGAGCATGGCGTCTTTCTCCTGTAGCGTGAGAGTGGTGCGTGTAGCCAATTGCCCAGCATTGGCTGATGGGGAGCCTGCTGGGCATGGGGGCCTGATAAATGCTACTGAAGTGCATCTTGCTTTGTGTCTTCTCTACGTGAGTAAAGCATTGTCCCATCTAGTGCTTGCCTGCATTGTGTTTTCTTTGGCAACTCCAATAACCAAGATACAATGAACAGAAGTTTTGAGACTCATCCTCTGGGAATGGAAATAATGCTTAACAAGAGTGGGTGTGGGCAGAGCAGTTAGGAGACTTGTCTGTGCTCCGATGGAGATCACAGTGGTGTGGGCTAGGATGATGGTGATGAAGAGGTAACCCTGCCCTTTTCTAGGGGTAGGCTTTATTAGATATAGAGGATCATGTAGAGGAAAACGGCAAGAATGACTACACAATTTTGAGCTCTTTCACCAGGTTGAATGGCAATTCCATTCATTGAAACGGGATTGTAGAAGGTGACTGGGCTTTTGGAGAAGAGCATGAGCATGAGTTCAGCTTACATCGTTTGAGACTGCCAAGAGGATGTGCCAAGTGAAAAGTCACATATTATATGAGTCTGGATTTTGGAGGTGAGGTTAGTAGGAGGCAATCTTTTGAGGTATTTGCATACCTGAGGTTGAATGGGTAAGAAGAAAAGAAGGACTCAACAGAAACTTGAGGAATTGTAGCATTTTGTGGCTATCTACCAGAGTACAGATGTGCACAGATGGTTGTGAAGGAATTGCCAGAGCACTAAGAGAAGAAACCAGGAATTTGGTATTTCCTTAAAACCGAAAGGGGGAAAAGGGTGATTTGAAGAGAGGCTGTCGTGAAGGCTCAATTCCGTTGAAGGGTCAACTCAACTGGCCAACGGCCGAAGAACTGTCTGTTGACTTAAGGATTTAGAGGAAAGAGGAATGATCTCAGGATTTTTTGTTGTTGTTGGAGTAGAAAGGGTAGAAACCAGATTATAGTTTGGTGCAAAAGTAATTGCTCTTTTTGCCATTAAAAGCAGTGGATTGACTGGTAAGTGGAACATGAAGAAATGGAAACAGATTGCATATCAGCTGTGAGAAAGATAAGCTGATTTCCCAGGCGTGGTGGCAGCTGTCTGTAATCCCAGCTGCTTGGGAGACTGAGGCTGGAGAATCATTTGAAACCGCGAGGCGGAGGTTGCAGTGAGCCAAGATCACACCATTACACTCCAGCTTGGGCAACAAGAGCGAAACTCCATCTAAAGAAAAAATGAACCTAAGCAGTATGGGATTAGCACGGCAGATATACTCTGAGTCAGCCTTACCACATGCTTATCATATGCAGAGATCGGAAATTGAATTTTCACTATATATCCTACCGAAGTCTGCAGTACGTAGAGGCAGATGGAAGTAAAGAGTGAAGGTAGTTTAATGTATACCATTGATTGCCACTAATGGTTGTATATTTTTTTGTTAATTCCTTGTTATAGGCCACGTCTTGGAAAATGAAAAGGAAGCAGGGTCTGAACCTTGCAGAGGAATGTGTGGTATTGTCTGAAGATGAGAACAGCGGAAGTGATCCAGATATAATGCTGGTGAGATAAATTGCACACTAAATGACACCTTGAGATTTTCATAGTCACAGAGATTAGAGGGACCTGTTAGTGCCTCCAAGTAATGGAAACGTTTAGTTGGGTAACCTAGTTTTTAGATGTAGAACTAAGCCTCAGAAAAGTTTAAGTTACTTGTTCAAGGCTACATAAATTAGTAGAGATATATCTGGAACTTACACATGTCCACCCCTAGGCCCCTTTCTATTTTAGTTCTCAGATTAAGAAAGTCTTAATATATATGTAAATATACAAAAATATACAAAATTTACATATATGACTTGAAGGTCATTATGAAAACTCATTCCCAAATCCAAAGAATATGAACCTTTTTATGATTTGTAAATTGGACTCTCACCAGAGGGCGTAATTCTGAATGGACTTAAATTAGGCAGAGAAAAGTCTATTCAGGAATTACGGGAACACTCCCCATTTTCTCCTTTAAATAATGTGTTCCTGTTTCTAACTTGATAGTTGATACCAAAGAGTACGTATCTGGGCTTCTGTAGAGTCCGGTTGCTTTGCCTTCGCTGAACCAAGCATGAAAAGCCCTTGGTGTTTAGGAAGAATTGATTCAAAGACTATTTGAGAAATGCTTCATCTATGAAGCCATGGTGTTCATTATGTTATATAGTGTTCTTTGTGTTATAGTAAAAAACACACTAAAAATAATTTATACATTAGAATTTAATGTCAGGGAAAAAAACCTATTCGATATTTTCTTTTATCTAAATATAAATGTTATTACTTAATATAGTTTCCTTTTTACCTTCATTGCCAAGAAGCTTATAGCTCAGCTTTAACTTGCATGAGAGTGACTGCAGTAGCCTAGATGGTTCTGTTTTTGCCATGGTAAGTGGAGTATTTAGAAAAGGACCTGGCCTCCTCGTACGTGTCTTTAAGGTGAGGTACTTCAAAATGCTATAAAGAATTGTGGATCAGGTTTAAATTGCACTTGTGCCAATGAGAAAGCTATACTTTCTTCTGACTTTAGCTTAACTTACGATAATGTCCTTCACTAGAAAATTATTGTCACAAGGTACATGATGTAACTATAATGAAAGTTTTATTTAAACGTTTTTTCATTTTGCAAAATTCTGAACATAGTGCAACCAACTCCTGCGTGCCCATTTCCCAGCTCCAGTGGTTATCACCTCATGGCCAGCCTTGTTTCACCCACATCCCCTCCCTCCCCTCCTTACTCCCAGATGTTACATCATTTCATCCACAAATTATAATTACTTTAAGAAGCAATTTGAAGGGGTGGTGAAAAGGTATAGAAGTGATTTGTGAATGGAACAGAAACAGACTCGTTATTAGCAATAAAGAACAACTAAATCAAAAAATTAAACACCGAAGTATTTTCAAAAGGAAAAAGGGTAAAAATTTAATCAGAGGCTCGAAAGAAAGACACAACCGCAACTGGTGTTGTAAATAACGCCCCCTCTTTTGACCTCTTCAAAGCGAAATGTAGTATAGTTGTACCTGTGAATATTGCTATTCACCACTTACTTGGCAGAATTTTCAGTCTCTGGGAGTTTTTCACGTAGCCCTTACTTTGTCACCTCTCTCAGCTGTGCACAGAGCTTTTGGCTGTGCCTTTTCATGAGTTAGATACGACATTTATATTTAAAATATTGTCCTTTTAGGTAATAGCTCTCAAGTTTTTATATTACTTGTGTGTAGGTATGTGGTATGATTGATTTGTGTCTCTCTGATCCTAGCAAGATGTCTGTTTCCACATTCCTGCTGTCTAATTAGCTTGGATAAAATGTATTATCCAGAGATGCACATTAATTTCTGTTTGGCTGTAGTTGCAATAATTCAAGTAGGAAATAATCGTTCCTCAATGCCGTCTGTCTGTATTTTCTTAAACCTGGAAATTAAAGAAAGATCATCCCATTCCCCATGCTCCTATCTAGTTATCTTCTAATTATAGCATGTGTCTGTGTGCACGTGTGAGTGTATGTGCCCCTGTGTCTATTAAATTTCAAGAAGGAAGGCACTCAGTGCTAATGGTGGTACAGGAAGTTGTCAGTTAAGGAAGAATAATTAGCTACCACAAAGGAATCCCTCCCCTGACCCGCCAAGGTGGTATTTATTATTTTGGTGAGTTTACTGAATGTGGGACCCAGGGTCTTATTTTTAGGTATAAGAGACTAAGAAATACAGTATTTTCAGCACACCAAAGAAACTTCATCCCACAGGGATGACTTCACATCCAGTTTATCCAAATTCATGAAACTGTCGTATTATAGCATGATGTCAGTTTAGTCATTTAAAAGATAAATACAGCCTCAGTTCAACTGGAAGGCACATATTGACCTAAGCTATGCATTCTGTCCCTTTATGCCAATCTGCATGGGCTGGCCAATTATAATCTGACAGTTGCTAGTTAGCTAGGTGCCAGAATATGTAAAAGGCGGCCAGCTAAGGCAGCCTGCTGTGTCCACCTCCCAAAGAGGCATGACAGAGGTGATGGTACCGATGCAATCATGATACTCAAAGGGTGCTGACTCAGGGAACCTTTGCCCGTGCCTGACTGTGCTCCTTAACTGGAGAATAACTCCATTCTGATTAGCGGATTTGTTTTGCTATGTTAATAAATATCTATCAGCCTGCCTTTTGAAAGGATTTTTTTTTTTTCATATTAAGGCACTTTAGTTTTCTCTATTCCATGTTTCAGGCAACATCTCACTCTGGTTCTTGTACTAATAGTTATGCGATTTCAAGTGAAATGAAAAAAAGTATTGGTTACTTTCCAGATTCATATTTAACCCAACCATTGCTGATTATTTCTGCCATATGATCATTCATTCTCCAAAATTACCTCACTGTGTGGCCTGCTGTTATGTTTTATTTGTTTTCCTAACTTCTTATCTCCCTACCCCCACTGAGCCCCTCAATTCTTGATTGAATATTCTTCTTACTGCTTTTGCTCTAAGACCTGTGTTCTATTGAAGAATTTTTTCATTTTACCTTTTAAATTTTTTCAAGATAAAGTCTCCTTATTTCCCCCAGGCTGGAGTGCAGTGGCACAGTCTCAGCTCATGGCAAGCAATTCCCTTGCCTCAGCCTCCCAAGTAGCTGGAATTACATGCACCACCACACCCAGCTAATTTTTGTACTTTTAATAGAGATGGGATTTTGCCATGTTGGCCAGCCTGGCCCAAACTCCTGGCCTCAAGTGATCTACCCACCTTGACCTCCCAAAGTGGTGGGATTACAGGCATGAGCCACTGTGCCCAGCCTTACTGAAGCAATTTTTAAAAACCACATTCTTCTTGTTTCCTCCTTTCCCAGTGGAATAATCTTTATTTTCAGATCATTTTTAATGTCTGGCACTTTGTTTTCACCATGCCTCCCATTTGACATGCTCCAAGTCATTCATGTGGTGTGGGGCTTCATTTGTCCCGTTCTCCAGTTGCTTCAGCTCATATACTGTGTAGATATTGCTTCCACAGCGTGTTTTCTTTTTGATATTAATTTATGGTTGGTCTTGTAGCCAGTGCAGGCCATTCATTTTCAAAGTCCATGCAGTGAGCGTGTTCTTGGCAAGACCTTACACATCACTTGGAGCTGTAGAAGTTTCCAACTGGGCTTTGGTTAAAGCTTCAGGCATTTTCTGGAGATTAAAAGACTGTCAGGAAAATAATGAAGAGTTTTTCTTTAAAAAATCTTAATCCTTTCAAAATGCTCTAGATAGCCTCTCAGTTGGACCTTTGGAGACATTTGCTATAGAATTCTGCACTTCAGCAAACCTTTTATTTTTCATAACCTTGTTAGCACAGCTATAGCTCTCTCCACCATTTTAGGCTAACTAGGGTGGTCCATATATTTTTTTTTTTACGTCTGACGCTATAAAGCTGAATTATTCAGAAATTTTAGTGCGTGTGCGCACATGCGCACAGCCATCATATTCCAGTAGTCAGTGTTCTCACTTTCTGTGTGGCCATGATGAAATTCCGGTACTGTTCTTCCCACGTTTCATATCTCTTCTCACCTCTCCATAACCTGAGAGGCAAGTACTCTTTCACCCCTATTTTACAGACGGGGAAAATTAAACGTGCTAAAGATCACACTGCCAGGAAGTGGGCACCTTGAGCCCTAGCTGTTAGACTTGGCTCCTCCTTGTGTAATCACTCCTCATTATGACATCTCCTTTTACCTCCCACCTCCATAACTGTCCCCTACATTAATTCAATCAGCCCATTCCACTTGGGTCCGTTGAAGCACATGAATACACTTTACTCAGGCATGAGAGTTTCAGGGTCCACCTCTATACTGCATTGGCTAACATTTAGCATTTTGGCTTGTGTTTCCAAAGTTTTTTAGATGGGCACCTCCAGTCAAGTGTCTCGAATCAATTTTAAAGGGCCAATTCATCATCCATGCCTTGCCCAGATTAAGCTCTCTTTAGTCCATTTCTCTCCGTTTCCACTCTAAATCTGACCTCAACAATGTATTAATAGTTCTTTTCTTCTAAGACCCAGATTTTGTCCTTCTAGTCAACCTAGAGTCCAGTCACAGTTATGAGGCTCATCTTCTTGGGGTCTCCACTAATTCCTGGCTTCTAAAAAAAGAAAGCGTTTTTCTTGTCCAAGATTATCACTCTGGTAATACGGTTGTAGTCACCAACCCCTTCCATGAGCTTTTGTTGCTTTACCCCCGGCCTCCAGAATATCTTATTATTTTCTGTCTTACATGCTCAGAACACATGTCCTTCTGTCTCTTTAAATGAATGGTGGGCATTCTGAACTGTTTTCTGTCTCAGGCTTTTCCAAACCCATGTGTAACGTTCAGATTTGTCCCAGTTAATCCCAGATGGGAAGGAAGTAGAAATCGTTGTTGCTGTTTTTTAATCACACCTTTTATAGGTATGCCAGCCTTTATCAGGAGGATCAGTGTCTGAGTAGATATGTCTATAGTTCTGCTGTTATTGGAACAGTGCCCTGTGGCACCGCCGTTATTAAGGGGTTGTCTAG